TGAATCCAGGCTATCCAGAGCAGATTATTCTGCTGAATTTGACTGGGTTGGTAAGAAAAATGTTTATTTTTATTCATCCATTTATATAATTTCTTGTTTTGTCAGTACATGTGTATACTAGAACTTGCATATCATTAATAATTAATAAATAAATAAATAAACCTTTTGCTGAATATATCAAAAGCATTTTACTTAAATCTATAATTCTTGCACTGCACTGCACTGCACTTGAGCATGCTAAATCCACTCTATTTAATCTAAAACAAGGTCTATAGTAAGAATATTGAGAGGAAATAAAGAATATATATTCCTGGAACATTCATCTCTCTTACTATAGGATAGAAAGAGTCCTCATATAGATGCAAGTAAACTGCCTGACTTGACATTAGCCTTTAGTCACCGCCCTGATATACACATATCCAGCAGGTTGACCTATTCTAACCCCCATTGTTCTGTCTTCATTAGATTCTTGTACCCTTCCCGTTCAAAACAAAGACCAGTGAATAAGCAAGTGCTTTTGTTCTGCCCTGGTAATAGACTGACTGATGAAGTCTAGAGTCCACTAAGTACGGGTTTCCCGCTCATTTTAAAGGGACCAGGGAGTGCAGGGCAGGCTGTGTGTCCAGTGTGTATGCATGAGCGGTTAAATAAAGGAGAGACAATATGCAGGTCACATTATCGAGGTGTGACCAGAGTACACAGGCTATATGGAGACTAACCTCGGACAATCCCAAAATACCAGTGTTGTCGTGTGTGGCACTTTAATTTTAAAGTGCCACAAGATACCAAGCTGAAGCGCCACCTACCAGCCGGTTAAGGGGAGTGAGGAGTCAGCAGTCTAAAACAGAGCAGTCAATAATTTTTTTTTTTTTTAAATCATATAAATATGAAGATGATGGGTCCCGTAGCATGGAGATTAGCTGCAGACAGTTACACAGACCGACATGTACGAAAATTGGTACGCATGTGTATCATGATCAGACAAGCATATAGCCATACTCCAAACCCAACAGGAAGTCGGCCATTTTGGATTTAGCTGTCATTTTTGGCGTTGTAGTTTAACAAACTCCTCCTAGGGAAGTGATGGGATCGACTTTACGTTTGACACTGCAATCTAAAGACATTCACGATTAAAAGTTGTGCTATTTTTGACTGTACGTTGAATGGCATGTCGCTGGCGTGCCGTCAGCGTGCCGTCAAAGTCGGCCATTTTGAACAAACTCCCCCCTAGTGAATTGATCACTTTTATCAGTGCTCTTCGTCCCCAATCGTTGTGGTTGTTGTCGTCATCATTATCTTTATGTTCATCATCATCACCATCAGTCACTTCTATTGTAGTTGTTGCTACTGTTGTTGCTGTGCACCTCTGTCTCTGTCCTTCTGTCTTCATCTTTGTCTCTCCCTCTCTCCCTCCCTCTCTTTCACCCCAGCTGGTCGAGGCAGATGACCACCCACCTAGAGCCGAAGGATCTGTCCTAGGTTTCTGCCTTTTAACAGGCAGTTTTTCCTTGCCCTTGTCGCCAAGTGCTTGCTCATGGTGGTACTGTTGGGTCTCTGTTAATAATGTTATAAGGAGTTCAGTCTAGACCTGCTCTTTTTGAAAAGTGTCCTGAGATAACTTCTGTTATGAATTGGCGCTATACAAATAAAATTTAATTGAATTGAATTACTGGAATCCTATTTACCTTTCATTTTGTTAATAAACAAACATTTTTATTTTATCACAGATGCCTCATCTCCTTGTCGTTCTTTAGTGTAGCATCCATAGTATTTGCACACATCCGATTCAACTTTTTTTTGCGGGAATATAATGAGCAAACCAAGTCTTCAGCCATGGTGACAGGCACAGGATTTTGGAAAGATGAGACTCCCATTTGTGGCAATTCCAAAATTAGGGACGCACCAATTTACTGGCTGGACATCGGCGTATCTGCAAATAAGATGGCATTCACCGATGTTTATCTGCAGTGTCACATCAATTTTGCGCTGGCTAAATGTGTTGATTATTTTTAACTTGCATATTGGAGAAATAATCACCTGTTTTCTAGCACTGCACTCAAATACTCATGTGCTCCACGCAGCAGCACGGACAGTGAGCGGCTGATCAGCTCCAAAGTCTAACATCTTGGATGAGAAGAGAAATAGAGTTGCAACAAGGTAGAGATGCTAATCTTTGTTTCGGGGTCGGCTAGGGCTGCACAATTAATTGAATTATTGAAATTGCAATACAGCCAAGTGCAATATCCTGTCGGTTCTCCAGATGTAAGAAAACATGTTTGTTTGGTACGGACCCCAACAAATGTCACATTATCAATGAAATCAGTTAAAATAAAAATGTTGTTGCAAAAATCATCATTCTGACTAATTGAGAATCACATGGCAATCATAATATCTCTCAAAATAATCATTTTTTTATCCTATCGTACAGCTCTACTATGGGCACAGAATCGCTGCATCCCCATCGAGAATTAATTAGGAAATCAATATAGGACTGTACCATGTTAGCAAATATTAGATCATGCAAATTCACCGCAATATACTTATAAGAGTGTTTTTATGTAATCGCAATATGCGATAATATTGTACATGATTTCTTCCCATCCCTACATTGACTGGGTTGTGACCCACATGTATGTCTTGGGAGATTTTATTTGGGTCCCATATAAATGTGCAGAATTTCTTTCTCCTGCTAAATGCATATTTTTTTCCTAATTTATAAAGTATTTAAATTTGTGCACATTGTTTTACTGATGAGGTAAAAAACGAGAGCCTTAACTTTTCCTAAATGCGCAAAGAAAGTGGTCTGTTCAAAAATCCTCAATGCATTTATTTAGTCTCAATTATAAAATATTTAAAATGTGTATTGTTTTACTGATGATGAAGTTGTGATTTAGCAAACATTTATCTCTTCAAAATGGCTGCTTTACCTGTTCAAGAAAAGTGGTCAGGAACGGTCATTTGTGCACAAATTTGCTCTTCTCACTGTGAATGGGTCGCCATGGTTTGTCATTTCAAAAGTTTGGGAAACACTGCTATAGGACACAGCCACACACATGGTCCCCTCTGGGCTTACACCTGGCAGAGATAATGAAGAGAAACACACTTCCACTGCAGCCTGAGCTCGCTGAACAACTGCATGCAGTTTCAGGTTGACAGAGCCAATAATGGCTCATTTCCCTCAAACTGAATGCAACTGACCGATGGCTCTCATAATGTAACTCTCACACAGGAATAACTACTGTATTGGAATGTATTTATGGACTCCGTGGCAACAGTAATGTCCTAATTAGTACAAAGAGGCGAGATATGTTATCTGTTTCCATTAACAAGCCTCTGTCTGTTGTTGGGTTAGAGGTCACATCAGGCTGTGACAATAGGCACTTTTAGTACGAGTGATCCTGTAGAATCGCTCTAAGTTGATCACGCCGAGTAAATAATTACCCTTTAGGCATACAGGGGTTTGCATGTTTTCCAGCATGATGACTGGTCAGTGGGTTTTATACATGAATTAATATTAGGACTGAAAAGAGGGCCAATCAGTTGACTAGAAATTTTATGTGGCAATGATAATGTCGTTTTTTTGTCAATCTAAAATGCCAAACATTCTCTGGTTCCAGTTACTCAAATGTGAGGATTTGCTGGGATTCTTGGTTTATTTATCTGTGCACATTCATTTTCACTATTTTATACACACAGTACAAAAATGATTTCACATTTTTTCAAAGGCTTGACTCTCGTCAGCCATCACTGACATTCAGGCTGGGGTTTAGGTAATATTTGGTGGCACTTCACAACCTCATTTATTAGAGAACTTTGTTAAATGAAACTACTTAATTGGGCCAGTCGTTTGATCCTGAAAATGATTACCCTGTCCTTCTGTTGTATACATACACTAATTAAATCATGGATTCCACCAAACACACACTTCTCATCTGAGGTATAATTAACAAATAACCTCAGCTCACACAAGGCAGGGGGAAAGCTACTGAGTAAGCATGAGCGACGGCAGCAGAGACATCAGAGAGTAATGGTCAGACTGGGGCAGATCCAGTTTCCCTCTCTTGAGAAAGACATGCTGTTTCATTAAAACGGCTCCCTTTTTAATTAACACCGTGGGCACGGGCTCCTGCGGCAGGCGTGTTCTCTTGCAGAAGCCTACTACAGTTGCAGTCACATTATAAAGATGCCCTTTCAGTGCTGCGGTCCCACGCATACCAAAGTTACTCACAGCTTCAAAAGTAACAAGGGAACTGAGGTTGCAAATCTGCAGTGGCAGTTTGGTCAGATTAGGAGAGTAGGAACACACTACTTATTTTCATTGTCGAGTAATCTGTCTGCCATTTTCTCGCGTTGACCATAAATGTCAGAAAATGATGAAAAGTGATGCTCAGAGCCAAAGACGTCCTCACAGAGGACTAAAGAAAGCAGAAAATATTCACATTTGAGAAGCTGAAATCAGAGAATCTGCACTTTTGTTTTCTTCAAAAATGATTCAAACAACCAATCAATTATTTAAAAATGGCGATTAATTTAATAGGTGATAACTGATGGACTAACCGACTAAATAGTTACAGCTCTACTTATTTCACTAGATTTTCATTGAATTTTCTCCTTCTGTTAGGCCTACTAATAGCCCTACTACTACTACTACTGCTACTAACACTAACACTACTACTATCACTAACATTATTATTATTAATAATAATAATAATAATAATAATAATAATAATAGTGTAATAGTAACGTAAGTAATGTAATTGTTACTAAAAACTGAAGGAAACAGAAGAAAGTGCTCTTTTGGCGGCATTTTTAAACGTTTACTATTTACTAACGTCGTTAGCCGAGAGTACAAATGTGTCGTAATAGTCTATTATTATTATGATGATGATAACATACTGCGGTCAGTTCCCGTGGTTTAGCGAGTGATGTGAAGTGAAAATGAGTGATTTTGTGCTTTATTAATATGTCAGACTGAAGGTAATGGCATGTATAGAGCTCACCTTACTGCTGTGGAAGTGAGTAAGGACAGTCCTCTCGCCTTCAGCTGGAGCACAGGACCGAGCCAGGTGTAGCAGGAACAACCGGAAACTTTTCAGCTGCTGTACTCTCCACGCGCCGGTTTGTTGTCTCGTGCGGTGAAACCCCGAGCAGTGTTAGGAAACTCCTCTTATCTTTTCCCAGTTACGAAGCTTTCTGGCTGTGGACGGACATCAACAGCTCACTGACAGCCGCTCACCAAACCCTGTAGGTCTCCTGTCTTTGTTCCTGTACAGAGCCGAGCTCCCGCGGGCACAGAGCAGACGTTCCCTCAGTCATTTAAACGCCCTATAACTCACTCCTTCTCTGACGTACAGGGGGCGTGGCCCCGGAGCACTGCTGCTGGAGGGGAGTTTTGCCCACTTCAGGGTGTTCTAGTAAGTCACAATAGACCTTTTTCACAGCAGCCATTTTTTTCAGAGGAGTATAAAAAAAGCAGCACTGAGTATCTTCATATCACCCATCCTTCCCGTCCACCCCTATAGTAGTAAAGAAAAACAAAACCACAACAAACAGAAAAAATAAAATATGTATACTTAAGCAGGGTATACTATTGATGTGTCCTTGAATGCTCTTTCATACCAATATAGTACAACCAAAGTTTTCACAGCAGCCATACTGATTGAACAGTAGGGTAAACACGACATTCATGTCAAAATGGCCGCTGTGAAAAAGGCCCATTGTAAAAAACACTATCATTATCACTGGTGTTGGAATAAGTGTTTAGATGCTTTAGGTAAAAGTAGCAGTACTACAGTTCTACTTGAAAAATCAGTATTACAGCTGTAGGCTACTTAAAATGTGAAAAGTAAATGGCCCCTTTATCTTATCTGCACAAGATAGCCTAATAATTTGTACGCACATTTATCTTGTGCAGCAAGATAAAAAACAATAATTTCGGGTGCCCGGTTGGCTCAGTCGGTGGAGCTGGCGACCCATGTACAGAGTTGCTGCAGTGGCCTGGGTTCGAATCCGACCTGCAGCCCTTTGCTGCATGTCATCCCCCCTCTCTCTACCCACCTTTCCTGTCGATCTTCAGCTGTCCTATCCCATAAAGCCACGAAAAGGCCAAAAAAAACCCAATAATTTCTTTTGTGACTTCAAGGGCTCACCTGTTAGTTTTGTTGAGGGAAGTTACAGCTTTATCACTCTTTGTAGTACATGGTGACTATTTATAAATAAAAATTGATGTTCATGTGTCTGATATGTTTTTTCCACAAAAAAGTATAATTTTCACACTAAAATTCTTAAAAATGTAAAAAGATACACTGGTGTTTTAAAGTTGCATAAAGTTGCATAAACGGTCCTGAATTCAACTTCAAGTCTAAATAGGAATCAAAAGATACTCTTGTACATCATTTAGGCATACACTGGTGTTTTAAAGACTCCATTGATCTGACTAGCTGGGTAATTTACATCAATTGTTAGTTTGCTAGGTAACTAGCTTGCTAATCTCAATCAATCATTAACTTGTTACATCTGAAGGATAATGTTAACAAAACACTAGCAAACTCCTTCTAGCTCATTAAAACCTCCAGAATCTCTGAATATGCAAATGTTGTTCATTTCTAAAGTTTTCCTGCTGAACACAAGATGTCTCCTCCTTCACTGTAAAGTCCATTCTCAGTGGATGAGCACTGGTGGCTTCAAGTTTCTACATCACACTGTACAAGTTGATACTGGACTGACTTCCAAATTATTTGTGATGTCACAAATCCTGCAGTTAGGCCCCGCCCCTTAAAATCAGATCCTTCTACTGTCACACTCTGCACAAACAGCATTCAAACAGCACACTGTGGGGACAGGGAGAAACTCTGATTTCTGACTGGAGGGGGGAGTTAAGTGCAGCCCACCAGTGCTTATCCAATTAAAAATTACAATATACTAAATATAAACCTACCACAACACTGTAACTGAAGACCATCCTTAAACGGTCCTGAATTCAACTTCAAGTCTAAATAGGAATGAAAGCATACTCTTATACATCATTTAAGGATACACTGCTGTTTTAAAGTTGCATTGCTGTGAGGCCAAAGAGGGGGGCTCAGGGGGAAACTGTTCTAACCACAATGTCAGTTCCCTGTCAACGCCTTTAATTATGTGGTTATTTATAGTCCGCTCCGTGTGCCTCTTGTGGTCTAACTAAGCCTATAGTCTGAGCCACGGTCATACATCACACCTGCAGAGGTCTGTAATAAGCACAGCACAGTTTTACTGTCTGGGATAGTGCTGCTCAGGGAGCCAGAGTCTCAGAGGTTATCTGGTTATGTTAATAGTCCTATTACCCAGAACAGGCGTATATCAGAAGACATTGGGGGAACCAATCTGTTTACTTAATGGCAGGAATAATAAAGCACAGGTGAAACTCACTTTGTTACTTGCTCCAACTGCAGACAGCGGAGGGGACTATAGACATTAAGGTGTGATGTGGCTTAAAACCACAAACCTGTATTAATTAGTAGCTATAAAAGGGTGGAGGCTGCTTACATTTTCTACTTAATCTGACACGTTGGAGCTCAGTCAGTTACAGAAATAAATAAAACTAATATTGTAAGCATTTATACATACACACATTTTGTATGTTTTCTACCCCGCACTCTGCAAACTTCAATGAAATTGTGCAGAGTGTGACCTCTGGTGGACAGACTGTTAGCATGCAAGGTGAAATAGAGACTTGAAATAGCAAATGTAAGCTGAATTTACTTTACTGCATTATATAGTGGACTCACCTGCAAAAAGATATTGTTTATTGACTCTCTGTAAGCAAAACTGTTTTTCCCCCAGGAAGCAACTCTGTACCAGGCAGGGGCAGATCTAGAGAACTATTTTAGGGGTGGCAGAAATATATGCTGAGTTAATTGCAGAGCATTGAATAGAAATATCAGGTGGCATTAGAAATCAATACATTGTTTTATTTACAAATACATTTTTTCTTCACAAATATTTGAAATACATGTCTTTTTTCATTTAACTTAAGCCTACCATTTAATCTAAATTGAATTAATTTCCATTTTATTGCACATTATTCTAAATTAATGTGTGTAAATTTGACAGCTAACCTACACAGGCCAGGCATTTTTTATGCCAGCCCTGTACATCTGCCCCTGGTATGCCAGGATGTTCACATGCTTTCCCCCCCAGCTTTATTAACAATATAGTAATATTACAACAAAACAATAATACATGTTTATAAAATATGTCACTTGGTCAGGGGTCCCTTAAAGAAGAAGGTTGAAAACCACTGGACTACATGATGTAACACTATACCTTTGGGTCATGGTACTGCACACTCCTTCCTGTAGAGGGCGATATGCGCCGCATAGCGAGTTCCAATCCGTTAATAACTAACCCTGGCTACAAGAAGAAGAGATGATGTGGTTATTTGTTGTGGTCTCATGAAGCATCCTTCGTCAGAGGAACACGAGTCAGCTGGGCAGGGCTCATAAAATGAAGACTCGTAAATACTGGTGCATTTATCCAAACTCGGAAAGTAACATATAATAATATAACGTTACGTTGGATTTCCGGTCTTGGCCAACCACGGACTAACGTTAACTGTTAACGTTAACTGTTAACGTACAACGTTAGCCAATAGCGGAACTCCCCCTTTATGTTTTAGCTGAGCTAACGTTACACAGCAGAGTGAGGAGTGACAGCGTCCACACACAGCCTGTGAGTATGATACCCAGCGTTAGCTTCACTTCACCGTGTCGTTACAGTGTGTGGCTGGCTTACTGTTTACATGCTAGCTTCGTTAGCTGGTAAGTTGTCATAGGGAAGCTAACGTTATGAGCCTTGCCGTTAAGTCTGTGTGGAAGAGCTAACGTTATGTACGTTATATATTCACATTCTTGCTATTGATATTAGCATAGGTAGTTGTACGGCAGTTGTTGTAAGAGTAGCGAGGTTGCTAACCATTTGGCAGTGTGTGTGCTAGTTACTCTCTTAGCTATGTAACGGTAGCTACGTGATTTACGGTAGTCAGCCCTCCTCTTCCTCACGTCATGGATGTATTAAGGAGAACACATCCACAGCCAGAAGCCCCATGGTAACGTTACATGGAAGGGGCAGTTCACAGCACTGGGTTGCACATTGAAATGCAATGAAGTTACATTCACAGGCGTTAAATATTAACAGATGGAGTGGTCGACTTCTCAACAGATGTTGTTAAGGTCGTCTCAATAACTCAATAGCTGAAAATATGATATCCAATAGATATCGCTATCATCATATCACTTTCCATTCACTTTATATTTTTCAGCTTCTTGCTTCCATATTTCCTGATCCTGGCTGTGTTGTTATGTATTTGTAGATCCCATTTTACTCACAAAATGTCCATCTTTTCTTATTTTTGATAAGATAATGGGAGGAAAGTGTCTAAAATACCAGAGCTAGAGCTGCAACAATAAGTAGATTAATTAGATTAGTTGTCAACTATTAAAACCCAGTGTGTAACATGGAGGAGGATCTAGTGTCAGAAATGGGATATAATATTCATAGTTGGGTTTTCATTAGTGAATAATCACCTGAAAATAAGAATGGTTGCATTTCGTTACCTTAGAATGAGCTGTTTTTATCTAACGTACAGTGAGAGCGTTCTTTCACTGCCATGTCAAACTGCCACGTTGCTACAGTAGCCTAGAAGTGACAAACCAAACACTGGCTCTAGATAGGGACTTTTGCCTTTTTTCGCAAGTTTCCCAACCACTATAGTTTCTCTATAGTAAAGTACTCCCATGCCTACTGCTGAGAGTAACCGCAGTCCACAGCTCTTCTGGGGTCTCTCCCTCTCCTCTTGTGCCGTGTGCAGGCAGTCAGTATATGAGGTGTGGGAGTCATGCATGACCTTCTCTCTCTCTCTCTCACTCTTTCTCTCTAGATGTCTGGATTTGGGTGTTTGTTTAGCTTGTATGTAAACAGTTTGTTTGAGCTTGTAAATATTTAAACAAGTTCTTTGTTCTTCTCCCTCCCTTTTTTAGATTTAAAATCAGTTTTCTTCAAATATACAATGTCCCTGTCGTGAGTTTGTGATTATTTGTCTAAATAATAATAATAATTATAATAATGTTCAAAGTGTGTGTGTGTGTGTGTGTGTGTGTGTGTGTGTCTGTCTGTCTGTCTGTGTGTGTCTGTCTGTCTGTGTGTGTCTCTGTCTGTATGTAAGTTTTCATCTCTGTATACCAATCAGAAAAAGGTTTGCATTTGCACTGCGGTTTGCAGTGATGCATTTATTGATCAAACTATGGTATTATATTTGTCCCTCATTTCTGAGCGAGCAATGGCAGATTT